CCGGAGATCACAGCCGTATATCGTCTGGATGATGTGAAACCCTGAAACACAGCTGAGGGTCAGAAGCAGCTGATGTACGGTACAGCAGAGTTAGGGAATCCCATTGCAGCAAAGCCATCCACTATGGCCTGCACATTTCCCAGAGTCACTACCTTTCGTAGCAGCACCTGAGTGATTGCTTTGGCTACTTGCATCACAGCAGCCCCCACAGTAGATTTACCCACTCCAAATTGATTCCCGACTGACCGGTAGCTGTCTGGTGTTACAAGCTTCCACAGGGCTATCGCCACGCACTTCTCAACTGTGAGGGCTGCTCTCATCTTGGTATTCTGGCGCTTCAGGGCAGGGGACAGCAAGTCACAAAGTTCCATGAAAGTGCCCTTACGCGTGCAAAAGTTCCGCAGCCACTGGGAATCATCCCACACCTGCAACACGATGCGGTCCCACCAGTCTGTGCTTGTTTCCCTTGCCCAGAATTGGCGTTCCATGGCTAGAACCTGCCCCATTAACAACATGATCTCCAAAGCACCGGGGCCCGCGGTTTGACAGAATTCTGTGTCCGTGTCCATGTCCTCATCACGCTGGTCGCTGCGCTGTCGCCGCCGCTGCCTCCTCTCCTCGTTTTTCTGGTCCTGGCTCAGCATAAACTCCATGAGAACGCGCAAGGTGTTTACAATGTTCATGGCCGCTGTCTTGAGCTGAGCGGGCTCCATGCTTGCCATGGTATGGAGTCTGCAGTGTTCACCCAGGAAAAAAGAAATGGTTGTCTGCCGTCCGTTGTCCTCATGCAGGGAGGGAGGGAGGGGTGAGGCTGTACCCAGAACCACCTGCGACAATGTTTTTTGTCCCATCAGGCACTGGGATCTCAACCCAGAATTCCAATGGGCGGGGGAGACTGCGGGAACTATGGGATAGCTACCCACAGTGCAACGCTCCAGAAATCGACGCTAGCCCCGGAACATGGACGCACAGTGCCCAATTAATGTGCTTAGTGTGGCCGCATACATTCGACTTTATACAATCTGTTTCCCAAATTCGAATATTATAAATTCAGATTAATCCCGTAGTGTAGACATACCCCTAGATACGGTAATGAAGTGGTTGGGGGTGTGTATGTGTGTGTGTGTGCGCGCTCACAGCACTGCCCTTTGCTGAATGCAGTCAGAACTCCTCAGCCATGTCCCTTGCAGTGCTAACGGCTAGCAAGGATTTATTTCCCTTTTGCTCCAATAGCAGGCCCTGTGCTTTTGGAGCAGTGGGTTCTCCATTCTCTCTGCTCTCACCGGGCTGGCCCCAGTGGGCACTGGGGCCTGCATGGGGAGAGCCGTGGAGTTGTAGGTGGCCTCTGGTTCACTATAGACATGTGATAACAGAAACGACGTTCTGTGGTCCTGTGAGGCTGAGGATGATTCTGTTGTGTTTCCAGGCTAAAAAAGAGGAGGAAGAGGCTCTCTGCGTCTACTGGAAAGTAGTGGCCGAGAGCGGCAGCTGGTCTCCGGACGGCTGCACCACCGTGCACATAAACAGCACTCAAACCAACTGCAGCTGTGACCATCTCTCCAGCTTCGCCGTCCTAATGGCTCCCCCCACAGTGACGGTATCTCACCGTGAGACTCGATCACACGGCTGGACCCTGAGCTCCGCACTCAGCCTTAGGCAAAGCTCTCCATGGAGTGACTGTAGGCTTTGCTGGGGAAAAGGCTGAATCGGAACCCAAGGGGCTGGGCTGGGATCACTGGTGATTGTCCCTTTGCTGTGTTACAGGCAAGTTACCAACAGACCATCATCACCTATGTGGGACTGACCATCTCCCTGCCATGCCTCTTCCTCGCCATCCTCACCTTCCTCCTGTGCCGCTCCATCCGCAATGTCAGCACCTCCCTCCACCTGCAGCTCTGCCTCTGCCTCTTCCTGGCCGACCTGCTCTTCCTCACCGCTGTGACCCTCATCGGCAGTCGAGTACGGCCTGATTCTCCCCTGCTCTGTTCCTCCACTCGCAGCAGAGCTGGGGTGTGTGGCTTTGAACCCCTTTCTAATCCCTAGATTCTAGGCTGTGCAGGAAAAAGGGGGGATTCCCAGGGGGATGTTTCCACCCCCTTAGGCCCCTTCACACTGGGCACAGTGGTCTGCATGTCCCCAAACCCTGGAGTTCAGCCAGTTCTATCCCTATGTCAGAGTCTCCCTGTGCCTCGATTCCTCTCCTACGTGACTTGCCCATGATCACCCAGGGACACCGTGGCAAGGCTGGGAACAAAACCTGGCTACCCTGAGCCCTGCTCTAACCACTAATCTCTGCTCCCTTCCTGCATCAGCAGTGTGCACCCGCAGGACCCTCCATAGACCAAGGAACCTGCCGTCTCTGGGTCACAGAGCGCTATAACTGGAGAGCTCTGCTAACAAGAATCCCGGTGTGACCCCCGCGGCAGGTCTCCCCCCATACTCAGCATTTCCCTTCCCCACCGCAGTGTCCCTGGGCTCTCTATCTCCCCCAGGTGGAGTGTGCTGTCATTGCTGGCCTCCTACACTACCTCTTCCTGGCCTGCTTCTCCTGGATGTTCCTGGAGGGGCTGCACCTCTTCCTCACAGTCAGGAACCTGAAGGTCGTGAATTACACCAGCGCCAGCCGGTTCAAGAAGAGATTCATGTACCCGTTCGGCTACGGATTCCCAGCCCTGGTGGTGGCTATTTCTGCAGCGGTGAATCCTGACGGCTACAGAACTTCCAAACAGTACGTGCAGCGCCCATCCCGAAGGGGAGCTGGGATGTGACTTCCATGCGCTTGTCCGGCTCACCCAAGGTCTGACTTGAACCAAGATTTCCCTGCTCACCCTGCCTGGGAACTGAATGTCCCCAGGGACACTAAGCTGCCCCGAGCGCTGTAGTTGAGTTGCCCACCTGTCATACGTCTGCATTCCTCACCGCACTGATGATGTGGAAGATCAAGCCAGAAAGATCCCAGCTTGACTCCCAGCTCCCAGGCTGGGTTTGTGCGGCTGGTGGGTAGGAAACAAACACACCTTCTTCCCGTGTGCAAATCCCTGAGGATCCCCTCTCTAAAGTGAGCGACTCACTAAAACAGGGCGTGGCGTGTTCTAGACACCCCAGGCTAGATCCTCTTCTGGTGTAAATCAGGGCAGATCCACTTCCTTCCATGCAGCGAGGCCAATGTCCATCCGCTGCATGTCTGGCCCTCCAGCAATACTGCGCCCATCCACCTGAAAGGGTCATTTGAGGAGGTGGAAGAGGAAGTGGTGGCTGAAAGCAGGAGATGCTGAGGTACATGGGGAGGGCTGTTTACCTGCTGCCCACAAGAGAGTCAGCCATGTCACAGACAGGCTGAGATCCATCTCGCTTTTGAGAGCCAGCTGCCCTGTGACACCCCCTCTCTGCCCCCGGGGCTGAAAAAGGGCAGTAATCCCATTAATGTCACCTTCTTCTTCCTCCCTCCCGCTAGCTGCTGGCTCAGCCTGGAGAGAGGCTTTCGTTGGAGCTTCCTGGGTCCAGTCTGTGCCATAATCCTGGTGGGTACCTCCCCGAACCACAGGGCCCCATTCTCCTCTCACCTCTGCCACCCCATTGATTTCAGTGAAGCAGGGAGGAGAACGTGTCCCATAAAACACAAGGAAAGACCCAGTTATGTCCCACTTGGCTCATCTGCTGTGGTCAGTCCCGGGATTAATCCCTGTGGTGTATCCCCAGGCTACAGCCTTTACTCGGGCACAGCTCCCATGGACGTCAGAAGGAGTTTTGCCAAGTGAAGACAGAAGAGTTTGGTCTAGTCTAGTTACTGACCCAAGGAATGAGGAAGGGAGAGGGGGCGGGGATTTCTTACAGCCTGAAGGTGGCAGGAAGTATTCTAGAGGCAGAATCTGGAATCTTTGAGCCAGATCCTACTCTCAGTTACACCAGTGTAAACCCAGAATAACTCCTGACTCCACTGGAGAGGCTCCATATTTAACTCTGAGCAGCATCTGGCCTCTGTGATCCCATTGATCCATCTCAGCCCTGGCTGTGCTGTCAGCTCCATGCATGGGGAGGGACCAAGAGCTACCAGGGGATATTACAGGAGAGGGGATGATTCCCACCAGAAATGAGCAGTCCCCGGTTCTGCAGTGTTCGGCTCAGTCCCCTGGGATCGGTCTCTGCCTCAGCTGGAGTCACCGGCCCCGGATGGGATGTTTTACAGGAAACATTTTCCACTGTTCCCACAGATAAATATAATGTTCTTTGCCCTGACCCTGTGGATCCTGAGAAACAGACTCTCCTCCCTCAATGCAGATGTGTCCACCCTCAGAGACCACAGGTGAGATGGCAACAAAACAGTCCTGGAGGGTCAGATGCCTTGGTTTGGAGGGTCCTTGGTACTGGGAGGGTGTGAGGAATTGCAAGAGGGGAACAGCATATCTAGGATCCATAGGAACGAATTCCCATAGTGTTTGCATTGACAGTAACCCTGTCCCACACAGGGAAGCCAGGGACGGTAGCTCCACCCTACCCTGCCCAGATCCTCCTGACCCAATTGCTCTCCATAGGCTTATTGTAACGGGATCTCTCCATCTGCCTTTATCCAGGTTACTGACCTTTAAAGCCATCGCCCAGCTCTTCATTCTGGGCCGCACATAGAGCCTTGGTCTCCTCCAAGTCGGCCCAGCAGCCACGGTCATGGCGTATTTATTCACCATCGTCAACAGCCTGCAGGGAGCCTTCATCTTCCTGGTGCACTGTCTCCTCAATCGCCAGGTAATGCCCACGCCCCATCAGCGCCCACACAGCACCTTCACTGGCCTTGCGGTGGCCATGTCTGATCTTCTCCGAGTCAGTTACATAGTGCAGTGACATCAGTACCTCTAAGTGGCAATACATCCCCTCTCACAAACACTGAGTATGTGTAAAAAGGGGAAAGGAATCTGGCAGTAATCTGGGAAACCCCACAACCACCATTCGAAAGCATGTGCCCATCAGTAAGGAAAAGATATTTTTAATAAAAATCACGGCCAGTCGTGGGCACTAAAGAACAATTCACGGAAGCCTGTGACCTGTCCTGACTTTCACTAAAACTATATTGACAAAACAGGGAGCCAGGTTCAGCTCAGTGCCCACTGCTGCTGGAGCTCCGGGATCCCCCACCACTGCTGCCCCACTTCGAAGTCCCCTGCTCCTCATGGCAGCTGAGCAGTTGTGGGGGATCCCACCCCCTGCGGCAGCAGAGAGCTCCAGTTCCCCATCACCTGCGGCAAGTGGGAGGTCTAGGGACCACCACTACCCACCAGGGGCTGGGCTGCCGCAGGGTCCCCTCACACTCCACAGTAGCTGAGAGCTCCAGGGGGATCCCCCCTCTTCCCACTGTGGCTGGGCAACTGCAGAGGGTCCCCCGCCACCAGCCACAGGTGAGCCAGTGACACTTGGTGGTGGAGACGGCCTTCTCCATCCATGCCACCACGCCCCACGCTGCCGCCTTCCACAGCATCAAGAAGATAAGCAACACGGCCGAGCCCCTCGGGGAACAGCCAGGTAGGGCCCAGCGCAAGCATCCAGGGGGTGGCCCCGTGGCCTTCCTCCCCCATCAGGCTACGGAGCTCCTAGCCCTCTCGTCAGTTCTAGGGTGGGGATTATTGAGGGATAGACCTAATTGGAGGGGAAAGGCCTCATATTCCTGACCTCCATGATATAATCATAGCTGTATCCATGAGCAAACTCCTACCCCAGAATATATTGGGCAGTGTCCTTTGCCTCAGTTTCTCCCCTTGTGCTGTGACTCACTCACTCACTCACTCATGCCCGTCACCCCAATCGGGGTATGGGCTGCCAACCACAGATCTCCAGAGTCCTCTATCCTGGGCCATTTGCTCTAACTGGCTTTGCCCTTTCCTTCCCCTGCACCCCACTTGCTGTCCTTGGTCTGCGAAGGCCCAGAGTTCAGAGCATTCATGTGAATTCAACTCTTGCCAGTGGGGTGGGAGGTGGGGAGATGGCATCAAGAAATGCCTCGTCCGCTGCTGCCACCACCATGTATACAACTGAGATCTGGTTTGACCTACAGACCTCTATCGGTATAACTACGTCGCTCAGTAAATCCACACACCCCCACCCCCTGTTCAACATAGTTATACCAACCCGACCTCATGTGTAGACACCGCTGTGTTGGCAGGAGAGCTTCTCCCATCGACACAGCTACCATCTCTTGGGGAGGTGGATTAACTACACCGATGGGAGAAGCTCTCTCCCGTCAGCTTAGAGCGTCTCCATTAAACCACCACAGAGGCACATGGTGCAGTTGTGCCGATGCAGCATGTTAAGCGTAGACGTGCTCTAAGGCTCAGCGGCTAGACCTGGTTCTCAGTGATTTCAGCTCTAGCGATCACTTAACAAAACAAGGACTTTCCAGTGTGTCTGATCAGCTCTGCCTTTACACAGTGGTGAGGGATAGGGTGAAATGGCGTCTAGGACTCTTTAGGGAGAGCCCACACCCCCGGATACAGACATCTACCCCCACCCTCTGTCTCTCTCACTCTCAGGGTGGGGTGGCATCCCCACCCCCCTGCTTAGCAAGTGAGCGTCAATCAGGGCAGGCTAAGCACAGTTCTTCTGCCCTGTCCTCACACAGTCAGGGTGACAACATGCCATTCCCCTGCACTCCCCACTAAAGTGATGTGTAACCCAACACCAGCCAAAAGGGGTCACTTTGGCAAAGCAGTTCCCTCCACGGAGATCCTAGGCACAATAGGTGCTTCTGGAAACTCAGTCTGTTGCTGAATTTGTTCCCCCAGCTCATCTCTCCACGTCAGAGGGGAGCTCAGTCCAACCCCACTTACACAGCAATGAAGAACGTGGAGGGGAAGTGGAGCCTTGCTTGTCAGAAACACCTCCCTGCTCCCGCCCAGCTCCAGACACTGCAGCCTTCGCATGGGAGAGGAAGCTGCTGGTACATTACAAACAGCTGATTTCTGCTCCTCAAGGTGGGGGAAGGGAGCAGGCTGTGTCTTTCCTGGGCGTGGGAACGGTGTTAGAACCACCCCCAGCAGCTGGAATATTCCACAGAAAAATCAGGCGTAACCCCACTGAATTCAGTAGAGTTAAACCTGCCTTGCACCCGGGTAAATGAGAGCAGTACCTGGCCCACCTCAGCACCACACTATTGTCCCGCAGCTCTGACTCATCTCCCAAAGCCCTGGGAAGTGGCCAGTCTCCAATCTTAAGGGTGGATTCTCAGGGGAAGGAATAACCAATGTCCCAGTCAGGAACCCAGAGGGGCATCATCCCTAAGACATTACAAGGCCTGGTGGTTGAGGAGATACCAAGAGCTTTTCACCTCCAGAGCAGCAGCTGAGCCCTTGTTGAGGAGAGGGGCCAGACCCGCCTGTGTTGGACCTGCTGTGACAGTGTACCCCATAAGGCTTTATGGGGGGGGTGCTTATAAATGTATGTATGGCATAACTGGAATATGTTTTGTGCTGCCTGTGCCATGTCATATATCTCCGTAAAGGTTATGGTCTACTGTATCTATTCATCCTCTTTGTACACATGTATCATTTTCTACTTGAGGGTAAGAATATGGGCTGCATGCTTCCTTGGTTTCTAAGTGAGCTTTGTGAGGCATTTGGTCAGTTTCTTTAGGAAGGAATTCGCCAGGTTAAGTACCTGATCAGGAAACACTTGGGGAACAACGCATCTTGGAATGCTCCAATCCACATAAAAAGTCTTCCTGGAGACATACAAGCTACCATGTGGACAATGGCTTCGGCCTGTAAAGACTGACTCATGCAGGGACATGTGATTTGCCCAGGTGACTCCAGAACTCCATCTTGGAGCTGGACTTTGTAAAGGAGGGAGGGGGGGGGGTCTCCAGCCACAAGAGAGAGTCTATTTAAACCCGTGGGAGACTCCTTCATTTTTGTCTTCAGCTGGCTAAGGAAGGAACCTCTCCACCCCCTCAGGATACTTGAAGGGAACTAGAATAAAAGACAGTAACTACAGGGGGTGCGAGTGATTGCTGGACCCAGGCTAAAAGGAGATTAGCCTGTAAAAGGGAGCATTCTGGAACTGGTGAGGAACTTATCTGTATTTAGTTTGATTAGACATAGATTTGTGCCTTTTATTTTATTTTACTTGGTGACTTACTTTGTTCTGTCTGTTACTACTTGGAACCACTTAAATCCTACTTTGTTTTTAATAAAATCACTTTTTATTTAGTAATTAACTCAGAGTATGTATTAATACCTGGGGGAGCAAACAACTGTGCAGATCTCTCTATCAGTGTTAAAGAGGGCGAACAATTTGAGTTTGCCCTGCATAAGCTTTATGCAGGGTAAAACGGATTCATTTGGGTTTAGACCCCATTGGGAGTTGGGCATCTGAGTCCTAAAGACAAGCAAACTTCTGTGAGCTGTTTTCACGTAAACTTGCAGCTTTGGGGCAAGTGTTGGAGCAGATGGGAGTGTCTGGCTCAGCAAGACAACGTACTGGAGTCTTGACCTGGCAGGGAAAACAGGAGCAGAGGTAGTCTTTGCCAGGGTCGGCTCTAGGATTTTTGCCACCCCAAGCAAAAACAATTTTGGCTCCCCCCCCCCGTTTTATCTTACCCCACCCCCGGCCCCGCCTCAACTCCCCCCGTTCCGCAAATCCCCAGCCCTGCCTCCTCCCCCTAGGTTCTCAAGCCTAGGAGGGAGGGAGGGAGTGGGCACTCAAAGTCTCCCCCTCTCAAACTTGGAATGGAGGGTGAGCAGCGGCACGCGAATCAGCTGTTTCGCGCACCGTGGTGGTGAGCTAGGGCAGCCGGGGCACATTTTTAGGGGCGGCATTCTGGCGCCGGCCATGCCACCCCTAAAAATGTGCCGCCCCAAGCACCAGCTTGTTTTGCTGGTGCCTATAGCCGGCCCTGGTCTTTGCACATCAGGTGGCAGCTCCCAAGGGGGTTTCTGTGATCCAACCAGTCACACCTGCACCCCAAGACTACCTACCTCTTCTGTAGCTCATTTCCTCAGAAGGTCTCAATGTCCTTTACAAAGGAGGCCATTATCAGTATCCCCATGTTACATAAGGTTCCTGGAAAGCAAGTGGCAAGTTTTGGAATTGAAGGGCCGGGAAGCGCAGTCCCTGGGGATTGTTAGAGAGTGTTGGTAGATTCTCCACACCCGAGTCGGGTGACATGGAGCTGAGCTGCATCCACACTACAAAGCGTTTGGGCTCTGATTGCATCACAGTGGGGCTTTGGCTTTGACCCCACCCCCTCGCAGGCTCTGCAGGCCTGAGTCAAACTAACTTCTGTGTGGACAGAAGTGGGGCTTGGTCTTAAGCCTGAGTCAGAGCTCTGGCTTAGTATGCTGTAGACATACCACTGGGTCTACCCTCCAGCAGGGCCGCATTTCCAAAGAGGCATAGTAGGCACATGTCTAGGGGCACCGGGCGATCTAGGGGCACTTTACCTCTCTAATACTATGTACAACATGCAGGTCAGCTGTGGGCGGGGGTGTATGTGTGCGCTGAAGGTGCTGTGCCTAGGGCCGCATAAGGTGTAAATCTGGCCCTGCCCTCCGGGGCTTGAGATCTGCCATTTTAAAGTTACAAACTGCTGTGAAAACACCTCTCAGGCACCACAGGGCTATCGCCACTCGCTTCTCCACTGTCAGGGCAAGTCTCATCTTGGTATTCCTGCGCTTCAGGGCAGGGGAAAACAACTCACAAAGTTCCATGGAAGTCGCCTTATGCATGGAAAAGTTTCGCAGCCACTGGGAATCACCCCAGACCTGCAACACTATGCGGTCCCACCAGTCTGTGCTTGTTTGCCGGGCCCAGAATTGGAGTTCCACTGTATCAACCTGCCCCACTGCCGCCGTGAT